GTCGTCGTCGTCGTCGTCGTCGTCGTCGTCGTCGTCGTCGTCGTCGTCGTCGTCGTCGTCGTCGTCGTAGTAGTAGTAGTAGTAGTAGTAGTAGTAGTCGTCGTAGTAGTAGTAGTAGTAGTAGTAGTAGTAGTAGTACTACTACTACTACTCGTAGTCGTAGTTGTAGTTGTAGTCGCAGTCGTAGTCGTAGTTGTAGTCCTAGTCGTAGTTGTAGAAGGAGGTGGGGCAGGACGGTCGTCCGTTCGCCCAATCCCCGGGGACGATGATCATACATAATGGGAGCGACCAATGAGGGTAACGACGAAGGGAATACGGATCTGTTTTGGGGAAAAAAGTAGGAGGAGGAGGAGGAGGAGGAGGAGGAGGAGGAGGAGGAGGAGGAGGAGGAGGAGGAGGAGGAGGAGGAGGAGGACAGGAAGAGGTGGAGGAGGAGGAGGAGGAGGAGAAACATGGTGTTTGTTGATGGAGAGGATGGAATGTACGGATGATGAGTGGGAGGGGGGAAGGTGGTTGCGAGGATGATGGGGAGGACGACGATGACGACGAAGAGGCGACAGATGACGACGAGGATGACGATACACATGATAAATTCGGCCGGCCGAGGAGGAGGAGGAGGAGTAGAAGGAGGAGGAGGTGGAGGAGGAGGAGGAGGAAGGGAAGGAGGAGGAGGAAGAGGAGGAGGAGGACGACGAGGACAGACTCTGAGAGCTGTTGGGCGCCTTGCTGACCCGTGGCGAGAGGGATGGCAAGGAGGAGGAGGAGGAGTACCAATAATAGTAAGAACAATCAGAGTAATAATAATGAAAACAATATCAATAGTAATACAATAATACGCATAATGATACTAATTAGAAAAGTAATAATCAGACGAATAAGAAGACGAATCGTCATATGAAGAACACTAATGATACTACGAATAATAAGAACCATCTTACTACAACTACTACTAATAATACTACTTCTAAGGCGAACAATACTAATCAACTACAAAGAATATTATTACTACTCAGACATATCAAACTATTCATACTTAGGATGCAAAGAAGGCGAACGCTAATACATACGAATCTGAATACTAATAATAAAACTAAGGCTATTACTAGTACTACGAAGAAGAGGAGGACGAGGAGGAGGAGGAGGAAGAGGAGGAGGAGGAAGAAGATGAGGGGGAGGAGGAGGCGGAGGAGGAGGATGAGGAGAAGGAGGAGGAGGTGGAGGAGGAGGAGGTGGAGGATGAGGAGGACGAGGAGGAGGAGGAGGTGGAGGAGGAGGACGAGGAGGAGGACGCGGACGAGGAGGAGGAGGAGAAGGAGGAGGAGGGGCAGGAGGAACGACGCAGGAGTAGGACGAGGAGGACCTGACGCCGACGACGACGATGCCGCTCGGGAAGCGGAGGAGGCTGGCAAGTACCGCGGCCCGCCCAGCTACGTGCTGAACGTGGCCAACCTCGCCGCCAGCGGCGGCCTCGAGAAGGTGCAACACAGCCACTCGAGGCCTCGGCCACGGCGACGACAACGTCTTCGGCCCGAGTATCGACGGCCGCGGCGGCGGTGGCGACGCCGGCGGTGGTGGTGACGGCGGCGGCGGCGGCGGCGATAACAGCGGCGGCGACGAAGTCGAAGACGTCGACGCGGGCGGCGACGATGGCGACGACGACGTGAACGACGACGATGACGACGACGAGGGCGATGACGATGATGGCGGCAACGACGACGACGACGGGGACGAGGAAGACCAGCGCGACGACGACGACGGCTGCAGCGACGACGTCGGTGGAGTCGAGGACGCCGAGGGAGATGACGACGGCGACCGACGTCGCCCAGAGGCCCCCGAAGGTTCCCAGAGGCCCCTGAAATCGATCGATTCCCAGTCTTCGAGCTTCGGCGGTTGCGACGGCGAGGGCGCCGTCGCTGGAGTTTGAAGATTTCTGGTGCGTTTCTGGTGGCTTCCGTCACTGCTGCGGGGACACGGCTCGAAGAAGGAAGGCGTCCTCGCCGTCGCCGTCGTCGTCGTCGTCTTCTGCTTCGTCGCCGTCTTCGTCGTCGTCGCCCAAGTCGCCCTCGTAGTTGTCGTCGTCGCCGTCGTCGCCGCTTTCGCCATCGCAGTCGCCGTCGCTGTCGTCGTCTTCTTCGTCGCCGTCCTCGTCGTCGTCGTCGTCGTCGTCGTCGTCGTCGTCGCTCAAGCCGCCCTCGTCGGTGCTGTCGTCGTCGTCGCCGTCGTCGCCGTCCGCCACAAATCCATCCCGAGTCAGTCCCCAGACCACTCCAGGCGTGCATCGTGAGGTTTTTTTTCGAGACGCGCGCAGCCGTGGCCTTCAGGGCTTCCAGGGACGCCCAGAAGCCCTGCAGAAAGACGACGACGACGACAACGACGACGCCCATAAGCTTGCAGGTCGACGGCGACGGGGCTCCTGTCGTGTCGGACGAGAGGAGGGGATTGGGGGGATTGGGAACCCTCCCCTCCTTGCCTTCCTCTCTTCTCCTACCCTTCTCCGTCCTCTTTTTCTCCTCCTCCTCCTCCTCCTCCTCCTCCTCCATCCCCCTCCATCCTCTTTTCCTTCTCCGTCTCCTCCTCCGTCGCCTCTCCTCCTCCACCTCCTCCTCCTCCTCCTCCTGCTCCTCCTCCTCCTCCTCCTCCTCCTCCTCCTCCTCCTCCTCCCCCTCCCCCTCCTCCTCCCTCGTCCTCCCTCCTCCTCCTCCTCCTCCTCCTCCTCCTCCTCCTCCTCCCTGCAGAGCTTACCGCCTGGAGCTCTCCCACGGGTGCGCTCCGACTCTGACATCGAGCGTCGAGGGTATAATGCCGGCGTGCTGACGTCGCCCGGAGCCTGCTGCTTCTACCCGTGACCTCGACGTTCGAGCCTCGAGCCTCGAGCCTCCCCCCCTCCTCGTCCCCCCCCCTCATCTCCCCCTCCTCTCTCGTCCCTCCCCTCGATCTCCCCCCCTCCTCCTCGTCCCCCTCCTGGTCCCCCCCCTCGAGCCTCCCCCCCTCCTTGTCCCCCTCCTCTCTCGCCCCTTCTTCTCCCCGGGCCGCCCCCCCCCTCCCCCTCCTTCCCCCGAGGCTCGAGATCATCGCGGACAAGATCCAGAAGAGGACGCGGGGGGGGGGGGGGGAGCCATGGCGCCTCCGGAGGGCTCCGCTGAGAGGGCTCAGCAGAGGGGGCCCGCTTTCCACCACCACCACCATAGGTAGGAGAGGGACGAGGAGGAGGAGGAGGAGGAGGAGGAGGAGGAGGAGGAGGAGGAGGAGGAGGAGGAGGAGGACCTCCCCATCCTCCCTTCTCCCCCGTCCTACATCTGGTAGTGGTCACCACTGATGGAACAAATAGCCCATCCCAGATGGGGCCTGCTTTCCTCCTTCTCCTCCCAAAGAGCTGCGCGGAGGAAGGGGCAAACAAGAGGGCCCCGACGATCTCGGCCCGGACCCCCGCCGTCGTGCTTATTCTCACAGCGTGGGCCCCCAGAGAGGTGTTTTTTGTCGGCGGCGGGCCCGGGGGGGAAGTGAGAGGGAGCAGGCCTTCTCGGAAGGCGGCGGGGCTTCTCAGAAGCCCTCCAGCCTTCTGAGTTCTCTGTGCCTTCGGGGAAGGCTTAGAAAACTTCTCAGAAGGCTCGAGGCCTTCCGAGCTTTCTGAGAAGGTTCCCCCCTCCCACTTCCCCCCAGGCTCGCCGCTGGCTATCTACGATCGAGACACAAAGCCGCCTGTCCAACAGCGGCCGCTGTCGGTTTTCGACAGCATGTGTTGCTGGGCATCGTACGTCCAAGGTCCAAAGCCTAGACCCTTGCCCTGGGATCGGTTTTACATCCCGAGCCGTTTTTTCACGGTTATGGGGCCTGGTGTGGGCCTCCAGGGGCCGAGAACCGTCGAAACAGTGTATAATCAGTCTTGATTTTTTTCAGGGCGATAGCACGTCGTCGGGAGAGCCCTCGCACCTCGACGGCGGCGACGGCTGCGACGGCGGCAACCGTGACGACGACGGCGCCTGCGCCGGCGATAGCGAATGCGACCGCGACGGCGACGGCGCCAGCGACCGCGATTGCGTCGGCCACGGCGAAGGCGACGGCGACGGCGACGGCGACGGCGACGACGACGACGGCGACGGCGGCAGCGGACGACGACGACGATGACGACGACGACGACAGAGACGATAGCGACGACAGCGACGACGACGACGGCGACGACTGCGACGACGACGGCGACGACGGCAGCGATGACAGCGACGACGGCGGCGGCGGCGACGACGACGCCGACGGCGATGATGACGGCGGTGACGACGGTGGTGACGGCTGCAACGGCGGCGCCGGTGACGACGATGGCGTCGGCGACGACACCGACAACGGTGGCGGCGGCGACGTCGACGACGACGATGACGATGACGGTGACGACGGCTGTGGTGGCGGCGGCGACGACGACAGCGACGGCGACGACGACAACGACGACCACGACGACGACGAAGACCACGTCGACGTCGTCGACGACGGCCACGACGACGACGTTTACGACGATGACGACCACGACCACGACGACGACGACGATGACGACGACGACGACGACGGCGGCAGCGGCGACGACGACGACGACAACGAGCACGACGACGACGACGATGACGACTACGGCGACGACGACGACGACGATGACGACGACGACGATGACGACGACGACAGCGACGACAGCGACGACGGCGGCGGCGGCGGCGTCTGCGCCTGCGGCGGCGAGGGCGGCGACGGTAGCCGCGCGCACCCGTCGGGCGGCGCGCGCGCGCGCCCCCGGGGTGAGGACTCCTCAGGACCTTGCGGCGGCGCCTGCGGCGGGCGACGCGGGCGGGACTGCTTTCGAGCTCTCGGCGATGAGGCTCCCTGCGCCGCTTACGCTCATCCGCTCGCCGTGGTCGTCGTTGTCGTCGTCGTCGTCGTCGTCGTCGTCGTCGTCGTCGCCGTCGCCGTCGCCGTCGCCGTCGCCGTCGCCGTCGCCGTCGCCGTCGCCGTCGCCGTCGCCGTCGCCGTCGTCGTCGCCGTCGCCGTCGTTGTTGTTGCCGCCGCCGCCGCCGCCGTCGCCGTCGTCGTCGCCGTCGCCTTCGTCGCCGTTGTCGTTGCCGCCGCCGCCGCCGTCGCCGTCGCTGTCGCGGGCCGTTCGCGGTCGCGGCCCTTCGGCGCCTTCGAGCTCCAGGGATCCAGAGTCGCGAGGGGGAGGGAGGGGGAGGAGGTTCTGAGTCCATGCTCTCGGTCCCCCTCTTGCTCTTGCCGCTCTGTTCTGTCATGGTGCATGTCTTGTTGATCCGCGGGCCACCGCGGGCCACTGACGCTACGGGCACAACCGCGCGCCCTCCATGCGCAAGAAAGGTGGGTCCCTGGAGGTCCTGTGGGTGCCTCCGAGTTCGTCCAGAGGCCCTCGGAGACCCGGAGGGGGCCATACATTTCCTCGATTCTCGATCCTCGACCGCCGAACTATGTTCACACCCTCCGCTTCGGACTCTTGCCCTGGTAACTCCAGGAGTGGTGGATGTGGATATCTACTGGCCCCTGACAGTGGGACTCCAGCGCGGGCGTTCACGGTGGAACGCCGCCAGTGGCCCAGAATCGGCCAATGTGGAGGGATCCGCGCTGCTGGGATTTCGCGACCGTTCGAGGCTGAGCGGTCCTCGCGGTGTCAGACTGGCGTACCCCAACAGACTAATACTGGGTGTGCGTCGCCCCCTCGGGGGCGAAGCGCCTCTCCGAGAAATCTTATGGCACGAGCTCCCTGGCGGGCTCCTTCTGGCCGCACCGCTCGGGAAAAGGTGCGCCACAGGGTGTCTGTGCTGTGTGCTCGGGGCCGACGCGCGCGCCTCTGGGGAGGACACGTCGGTTCGTGCGGCTCTGGCGCGCCGTCGACGCCAGCGAAAGCGGTCAAGGTTGAACTCCGCACGATCGAGCGGCGCGGCAGCACCGAGGGGCACGGCAGCGCCACAGGATCTGACGGAACCGATCGGGGCCGCGATCGGTTCCAAGTTGGGCGATCGAGGCCCTGTCAAAACCCTATTGCGCGCGCCAGCGCTGCACGAACCTGACGTACTAGTCTGTGCTTCTGCGCCCCATCGGAAGCCGGCCCCGAAGCCGCCGCGAGGAGCGAACCCTGGGCCACCCACGGCCGCCGGGGCGCGAAGGCAAGAGCGCGCCGCGCGCGCCGCAGCGCACGCACGTGCGTCCCGGGGGTGGGCGCCCCGGGTGCGGAGAGAGCCCCCTCGCGTCGCGCATCGCGGGGCGCGGCGCGCGCAGGCGGGGCGGGCGGGCGTCGGCGGAGAGCGGGGCGGGGAAGCGAGAAGGACAAAGGTCTTTTCAGGAGGGGCGCGTCGCACATCGCGGGGCGCCGAGATGGGGCTGGTCTGTGTCGGCGGCAATCGAGGGGGGAGAGCGAGAAGAGGAAGGTCTTCTCAGAAGGCGGCGGGGCTTCTCAGGAACCCTCGCGCCCCCCGGGAGGTTTTTTTTTGTGCCTTCGAGGAGGGCGGAGGAGGCCCCTGAAAAACCCGAGGTCTTTCGAGCCGTCTGAGAAGGCTCCCGCCCCTTCTCACTTCCCCCCCTGGGCTCGCCGCCGAAGGTGTGTGTCGGGTCGACGGAGTTTTCCACGCCCTCCTACGCTGCACGCGCTCCGGGGCACACACACACACACACGCGCGCACGTGAGCGTGCTCCTCCTTTGCCGCGCGTTCCTCTCTCCCGTTTCCCGCCGTCCCCAGTCCGGCCACGCGCATCCCACACCTGCCTTCGAACGCGGTGCAGATTCTCGCTGCTGCGACGAAAAGGATCGTGTCGACGCGGCGGCGACAACCGCCGCGGGCATCAGAGGTGGAGCGCCGCCCGTGGCCCGGAATCGGCCAACGTGGAGCGATCTGGCGATCAAAATGCCGCGGGTATGTCAAGCTTGGACGGTCCAGGCGGTGCCGGAAACCGACGCCGCGGTCGTGACGGCACGAACCTGACGTGGGTGACCTGGGAGGCTGCGTTCGCATCTAACCGCTCCCCGGGGACCCATGGCAGGCTGCCATCAGTCAGAGGGTCACCACCCACCAAATCACCCCAACCCAACCCGAAGGCTCGGAGTTACCCTCGATTTCCAGTGGGGGGGGTGTCGGGAAACATCGACAAAAACACATGTGGAACCTTTACCACCCCCCACCCGAAATCGGGGTCTTCGGGTTGGGTTGGGGTGGTCTGGTGGGTAGTCGGAGGGCAACGGCACGTGTGCACGTGCGCGGCCAGCTTCCGCCGGCCCACACGCCTGGGCGCGGTGGCTCGTGCACGCGTGGGTCCGCGGATGGCGTGGCGTGGCGTGCACGTACACTCAGGAGGGGGAAAAACACACAGACACAATTTACCGTCGATCCCCAAGAAAACATGCGAAAATATGGGAAGTGGGGGGGAAGACAAAAGCCCAGAAAATATGGGAAAATATGGGGAGTCTTTTTATTTGTGTATTCATTTGTGTGTCCCAGGGCCCCTTCATACACATGTTTTCGCTCGCCCAGCGAAGTTGTGAGCACCCCGACGCCCTCCCGGCGGCGCCCCAGAGAGGCACGCGCAGAAGGTCCCCGCCAAGAAGTGGGACCTGCCGCAGACGCGGGCCCAGGACGGGAGCGCTTTGGGCCGCCGCTGCGGCCGCCGCCGCCGCCATCGCCGCCGCCGCCGTCTTCGTCGTCGTCGCCGTCGACAGCGACGATGACGACGTCGTTCCTCTTCTGTCGTTACCTCCCTCGCTCCTTTCTCGCTCCGTTCTTCTCCCTCCTCTCTCCCTCCTCTGCCTCCTTTTGTTGTTATGCCAAAATCTTCCTCTCCTGGGTACGAAAGAAGATGTACACGACGCGGGCGGCTACAGAGAAGGTCTCTTGCAGCCACGGTTAACAACGATGCAGGCAAGCAGAGCCGCAAGGCTTCTATGTGGGACCCATCCTGTATAAGTATGAGTTTGAAGCGATTACCGCGCCGACAGTCGATTTGGCGTTTTGTTTTGTGCTGCTTGCGCAAAGTAGACCTACGCGAAGATGGCTGGACGATATTCTATGTTTTTTCCCATCTGTTGCAGACCGAGTTCAGTACGAAGCAGTGATCGGACTGACTGAGACCGACTGCGTACAAGGTGCGGCCCCTTTTCTAGTGAAATTTGCCTGCATTCACATTTGGACCGAGCTGGAATGCGACTTTGTCAGATTCGATATTGCGCAAACGAGCTGGATCCCTTGCGCCACCGCGCAGCCCCGCGTAGGGCCGCCTGGGACGACACAGGTGCAGACTCCAGTCTCCAGTTTTTTCCTCCTCCCTTCTCCTCCTCGTCCTCCTTCCTTCCGCTCGCGTGCGTGTGGGGGGAGGGGAGGAGGAGGAGGAGGAGGAGGAGGAGGAGGAGGAGGAGGAGGAGGAGGAGGAGGAGGAGGAGGAGGAGGAGGAGGAGGAGGAGGAGGGCGAGGAGCAGGAGGAGGAGGATCGGAGTAAACCTAAAGTGCATCATCGATGCTGCAATGCAGCCTCTCGTCCCAAGTCCCTCCTCATACGCCGCTGTAAGCTTTATTTTCTCTGCAAGTCGCGTCCCCTAAAGACCACAGTTGGGCCTGCCATTTGGACCAGGCCCCGATTTTTACAGAATTGTCTGGCATCTTCTTGTCGCGTAATCCGGACTTCGAAAATAGTCTGATCGTACGTTTCAGCGAGGAGTCCAGCCAGCGAGATCCCCCTTTCGACGAAGGACCACCCCGCCATTCGTGTGAGTGTTGCGCAAGTTACGCTTGTGGTCGTGAATTGAGGAAGTCTAGAGCGGCAGCTCTATTTTGAAACATAGCCTCCCTAGATCCGTGCAGCGCCACAAGCGTTGAAGTTTTCGGGTAAACCTTCGAAGTCTCAAATGAGAACGCCATTTCGAGAAAAAATAGAAGAGCAGTTCTACATCCTTCTAAGCACCGCGTAACAGAAAAACGAATGCGCGTGACATTGAGGCGATGGCCCATTTTCAAAACGACCAGTGCTTACTCTTTACACCAGACTCGAGATTTTCAGACGAATTTTCGCGGCGCTAAGGCGGGAGCCCCACATTCATCCGTGAGGCGATTGCAGCATGTTAACACGAATATGCGCGGCGCAACGGCGAGATCACAATTTTGAAAACGACCGCTTTCCCTGATTTCGTGGCACCTTTGTAAGAATAATGTGCGCGGCGCGAATGACAGAGCTACATCCTGAAAACGACCCCCGTTGGAGGGGCAGGAGGAACAGTATGACGAGCACTCAGAAGAGGACGAGCGAGAGGAGAATGACGGCGATTAAGAGAGGCGGAATAGGAGCAAGAGCATGACAATGAGGAATCGGAGGAGGAAGGGGATGGATAGGAGGGAAACGAGGAACCGAAGGCGGTGGACCACGCGGAGGAGGAGTGGATGAGGTGAAGTGGACGTGGATGAGGTGAAGTGGACGGTAAGGAAGAGGTGTGTGTGTGGGGAGGGGCAGAAGGAGTACGAGCAGCGGCGATACTGAGTGCCCTGAACCCTCCGTCCTTGTAGCGCGCCATCTCTGGCCAGGATGTCGAAGCAGTGCACCCCCCTCCCCCTCCCCCTCCCTTTCCACCCAGAACCCCCCTACGAACCCATCGCCCACCTCTCGTGCCCTTCCATCTCCATGTCTCTACGTACTGCTCTCATCTTCCGCTTGTGCCGCTCATTGTCTTTCCAGAACTCGTCGCTCCTTCTCCTCCTGCCCTGCGGCCTTCTCCCTACTGTTTCTTCCATCCTTCCTGCTCCCCCATTCCTCCCTCCCTCCTCCCTCCCTCTTCCTTTCCTTCCTTCTCCCCTCTATTCATCGTCGTCCTGGCCCTCGTTGTCGTCGTCACTGTCACAGGTCTCCGTCACAGCCATCGTCGCCGTCCTCGCCCTCGTCCTCGTTGCCGTCGTCGCCGCCGCCGTTGTCGTCCTCTTCCTTGTCGTCAGCTCTCCGCCGCCGCCATCGCCGCGCCGCCGATCGTCGTCTTCCCCGTCGAAGCAGCCGTCGTGATCGCCCTCGCCGTCGCCGTCGCCGCTGCGGCCGCCCATCGTCGATCGTCTTCGCCGTGGATCGTCGTCGCCGTCGTCGCCGTCGCCGTCGCCCTCGCCTTCGCCCTCGCCGCCGTGGCCACCGATCGTCGATCGCCGTCGTCGTCGTGTCGTCGTGTCGTCGCCGTCGCCGCCGCGGCCACCAATCGACGATCGTCTATCGCCCTCGTCGTCGTCGTCGTCGTTGCCGTCGCCGTTGCCGTCGCCGTCGCCGTCGTCGTCGCCGTCTCCGGCGCGGCCGCCGAAAGCCGATCGCGTCGTCGTCGTCGTGGTCGTCGTCGTCATCGTCGTGGTCGTCATCGTCGTCGTCGTCGTCGTCGTCGTCGTCGTCGTCGTCGTCGTCGTCCTCGTCGTCCTCGTCGTCCTCGTCGTCCTCGTCGTCGTCGTCGCCCGCAGGAGCTGGGCTGGTTCATCTCGCAGCCGGTGCGCGCGGACGCCCTGCGGGCGCGGCGCCTGGCGAAGCGGTACGACCCGATGCTCACCGCCTCCGCAGGACGCCCCCGCCGCCTGGGAGGGACGCCGCCGCCGACCGCTCCGACGCAGACCGCGCCGCCGACGCCGCACGACGACGCCGCCGCCGGCGCCGCCGACGCCGCCGACGCCGCCGCCGCCACGGCGCTACGACGCCGACGGCGCCGCCACGACGCCGACGACGCCGACGACGTAGGTGGCGACGCGCCGACAGTGCCGACAACGTCAGTCGCTGGCGACTGCTCCATAGGGCGACCCCCGCGGGGGGAGGGACGCGGAGCGCCGGGGAGGATGCTCGCGCGCGGCTGCCATCTCCGGTCCATTTCTGGAGCCAGTCAGCGCTGACCAGAGGGTGCGGGCTTTCTCGGAAGGGTGGCGGGGCTTCGGACGGCCGAAGGCCTTCTGAGCCTTCTGAGAAGACCCGCCTCCTGTGCCTTCCCCATGGGCGCGCGAGAGAAATCGAGAAGCGCAACGCACTTTTCTGGCGTCGCGGCCGCGGGCGCCGCGGAGTCAGGCTGGCCGAGGCGAGTCCGAGGCAGTGCGCGCGCCAAGCGCTCACTCCCGAGCAGCCACCCAGCGAGGAGCGTGAGCGGCTCACCCACAAGGGCCACGCTGCGCGGGGACTCACGGAGGGGGAATCCTCAGGGGCAACGATAGGGGGCATAGGCTCTGGGGGGAGTGCATCGATCCCTGATCGCCTGTGGACATGCGGTTTCGCCATCGGGGGCCTATCGCCGATCCATCGGCGATGCATCGCCGATTCGAAGTCTATGTCTCCCTCCCCTGAGCCAGTCCCCCCCTCTCGATGCCCCTCAAATCCGCGAGGGGGAGCAGAGTACAGTCAACCCGCATGACAAGGATGGGCAACCTTCCCAGGGGTATCCTTGCATCTTGCCTCCAACGCCCATCCTCGGCCACTTTCGTTGGCCGCACCCCCGCTCGGAAAGCTTCGAAACGGCTTTCCAAGGCCCTTGCATCCTTATCGCGCATCTTTGCTATACGGGTGGACTGTAATCGACCTGCGATCGGCAGGAGCGGGCGGAAGCGCCTGGGGAGAGGCATGGGCCTCACGAGCGGAGCAACCGGGAGGGACAGCATGCACTTTCTCCTCCGGCTCGCCGACTGGTCGCAGTCGGCGGGTGCGGCACTGCAAAGGCGTGCTACGGCTCAAAGTCAGCTGATCGTCTCGTGTCGGGGGTTGCTGGAGTTGTCCCTGGCCCAAGGTGCCCCCCACTTTCCGGTCCATTTCGGAGCCCCTTGCGCGCTCTGGGCATCGCGAGGGTTGTTCTGGAGACCGTGGAGGCCTTCCTGAAAATCCTGGGGACACCCTGGGCCAGAAACACTTCTGGCCACGGAGCCGACGCTGATGGCCCGAGAGAACGTCGAGGAACAACACGCACCTCCCCGGGTCCAACGAGCAGTGCGTGCCGGGAGGGAAGCGGATGGGCACCAACGGCATCAGAACGGGCAGCGTGGTTGTTTGCCCTCCGTGCGGCCCCGCACGTGGGTGGTGGCGCGGGGGCGCCTGCCTTCCAAGAAGGCGGGGGTCTCCCGAGAAGGCGGGGGCCTGGCTGGCAGAGCCGGGAGGCTTCCAAGGAGGCTTCGCGGAGGCCAGGGGAGCCTCTGAGCAGCCCCTCTGCTTTCTCAGAAGCTCCCCGCATTCCCAGAAGGCCGCCCCCACCCCCTCGCGCCGCCCCCCCGCCCGCGCCGCCCACTCCCTCGCCTGCTCTCGTCCCTCCCTCCCTCGCTCCCTCTCCTCCCTCCCTCTCCTCCCTCCTCCTCCTTCTCCTCCTACGTTTCCTCCTCCCACTCTCTCTTGCCACTGCTCCTGCATGCTTCGTCGCATCGGTCCGCCTGCTACCGCCGCAACTTTAGATCCGAGCCGATTCCTTTCCGGTGATCCATCCCTTTGCTTGGCGGGGACGATCGTCTGCTCAGACTTCTGCCGCGCCGTCGTCGTTGCCGCGGTCGTTTGTCGTGGCTCCCGTCTCCGCCCCGCATTGGCGGCCTGGTCGTGGGATCGTCGTGGTCGGACGTCGTCGCTACATGACGTCGTCGACGATAGCAACGTCCCGCGATGACGATGGACGTCCGACGACGACGAAGGCGATTTCTCCCTTACTACGACGTGGATAGCGACTACGACGACGATGGTGAGTCAGCGTGGACGAGCGTGAGTCGTCGTTTTCGTCGTCGACAGCGTGGTCGTCGGCGACGTCGTCGTCGGTGACGTCGTCGGCGTCGGACGTCTTCGTGATCGTCCTCGTCGGCGTCGCTGCCCTCGTCGTCGCCCTCCTCGCTCTGATGCCCTCCGCTTTCCTCCTCGTCCTCCTCCTCGCCCTCCTCCTCCTCCTCTTCCAGCTGCTTCAGAGGTAAAAGCCAACACGCTCATACGCGGCTACTTTGTACGTCAGGGGCACACCATACAGTTCGCAGCGGAATGTTTGTCTCTCGTTTCTGCGGCTCCCTCCGCCTATGACGGGAGAAGGGGCTGGGCCGCGACGGCAACCAGGACGGTGGCTCCTCGCCGTGGCCATCCTAGCGCTTTAGACCTTCTACACGATGGCGACAGGCGGCCCGCCTTCTCCTCCACCTCAGCGCTTCCGCATGTGCACCTACAGCTCGATGTTCTTGAGAGGATCGACGAGGGCTCGCGAGATTTCGGGCGACTTCGCAAACATGAACGTGGTACTACTTCCGGGGACGGGCCGACGACAATCGTCTGAGTCGAACCACAGCCTCTTCCTGTACCAATCCAACTGGGAGCTTTCCTTTGGCTGGATCCGAGCCTCCAACAAGAGCTGTGGCGTGAGCATCTTTCTACATCAGTAGCGATCGTTTCTTTTTTCGACGTATCTATACCCCTCCAGCTCGACTCGCTGTAAAGTGCGGGGCAGTGCGACTGAAATCGAACACATGTGACTTCTCGGTGCAATCGTCATGTCGCTCTTCGAGGGCGAGCTGCAGGACCACGGTGCAGGCCATGATCGCCTGGACCCGTTCACTGGTGGAAGGCGTCGGGACAAGATGCGCTCCCATCATCGGCACGGACCTCAAAGACAAACTCGGCTTTCCGGACGATGACATCTACGAGGGCGAGCTCACGATTGGTTTCGACCCGAACACGAAGGAGACCGACCTGGCCGTCGGCACGATCGCCGCGGAGGAGGAGGGGCTCGCGCGGAAGCTGTGGCACCAGTGTTTCAGACATTTGCGCAGGGCAGCATTTAGTACCTTTCACGCCGCAGGCGACACTTATCTTGGAGCAGGCAACCACCGCTCACGTATCGATTTTATCCATGTGTCCCAAGGTCTACTTCCACAAATCTTCAACTGCAAGACGCTCCCAGGGGCCGGCCATAGGCTGCAGGCCGCAGGCCATCAACACTCTGGACACTCGCCACCACGGACCCCTCTATCTGGATTTCTTCTGCACCTTCGAGGCTACTGCTCACCGACGGCACACGTGGGACTACGACCGCTTCGTGGGCATGCTTCGTGGCGAGGAGTTGGTCATAATGCAGTGGCTATGCACCAATCCATCTTGGACATCGAGAAAGAAAGCGTGATCCGACGATGCAGTCGCCCGACTAGGGGCGACTTGTGGAACGCAGTGGCATCGCAGATTACGCAGGCCGTTCAGCAAGAATTTGGAAAACCAGCCGATGTGGAGAGGCAGAAATCTTGTTTGGAGGCCGAGCTTCCCCGTCATCTGGATAAACGTCGCAAGAACATGAACGCAGTGGCCATGGCAGACTTTCTGCGCGGGGGAGCTGACCACCCCGTGCGAGGGACAGCGAGCTTACGTAGCCTGGCGCGCACCACCTATCGGATTCGGCAAGTTTCACGAGAGCTGACCAAGGAACGCAATGCTTCCATCACGGCTGAGCTGAACGATGCCTGGGCCCGACATGATCACGCCACTGTTCAACGCTTGGCGAGGCGACTGGCCCGACAGGGCCGAGGCAGTCGCAGCGGGAGATATTCCGTGGCACGGGGTGGGGGAAATTGCGTTTGTGAGGCGACCGAGATCGAGGAATATTTGATGGGGCCAGCGACGGAGGGCGGCTTGGGAGCTCGCGAGTGCGGCCTGAACCAGGAGATGGCTTCGCGCTTCGACCAGCTGCACGAGGGCGACGAGATGCGCGGGGCCGACCGGCAGAGGTGCGACGCGATGCGGTTCGCAGACGTCTGTCAGGCGCGCGACTCGGCGACGACCTCCTCGGCACCATTACCCAGCTCCGTCGATCCCCTTAGAGACGGGCAATTCCCAGATGGTCCATCCTTTCCGAGATATGGCCGGCTCTATTCGATGAAGAGCACTGGGCCACATGTATTCGCGGAGGTTTGGGTGGCGATCCCAGGCCGACCTCGGCGCGGGGCTTCAACGAGCGCTTCTTAGATGTACTGGCCAGTTTCCGACGCACTACCGCGACTCCGCTGTTGTTCGACGTCTCCCCCTGCGTGGGCCTCGACGGGCGCGCTGGGGGCGGGCCCTCCTCTTCTGTCTGATCGGCAAGGCATGGAACGCCGACCTTTGGCATCGAGGGCGCAGAGTTCGGCCTCGCCTTCCTTGCTACTGCCATGGCTTCGCCAGGCGTCGGCGTTGAGAGGGCGCCGTCGCGGTGCGAGATTACGTTCCCTGGCGCCTGCAGCGCCAAGGCCTCTCGCGCGCCAGAGTTAATGAAGATGCGACTAATGCGGGGGATGATGGAACATCCGAATCTAGTTCGGGCCTTCCCATACTATGACCAGAAGGAGATTGAGCCGCTCATGGCCCATCGGAACCGAACCAGCTCAGCTCAGTGCGCCGCGGCGCGCGAGCCCTACGATGGGGCGACAGACGGGCGCATTGCGGTTTACGCCGACGATTTCACGAAGTGCGTCATGCCAGGCTTCGGACCCCACCTTTCCCAGGAGGAGGAGGAGCATCCCACCTACTCTCGTTCGCTTCATCTAGCGGCAGGAAACTATCCACTTGCTCGGGGGAGGTGGGCGTGCGACGGAACGACGATAAAAAAACTACTTTGGCAAAGCTCGTGGGGGGGGGGGGCAGTTTTGGGCAGCGCCGACTTCTCCGCGGGGGCCCCCTTCAGCGCCCGGGCCAGCGTGGCCGTTTCCCGAGGGCCCTGGGGGGGGGAGGCCTACCACGTCGGGCACTTTGCAGGTGGAACGAGCTAAACGAATGCAGGCGGGGAGGTCGGGCCTGGGCTATCTTCTCGAACTTCCCGGCCCACGACGCGACCGCCAGCGTCGTGCGCGTGTCCATCGTCGTTTTCGTGCAGTCTGCTCTGCTCTCAGGCGTGGAAGGGCGTTTCCCCGATGCCGCCTACTCCTCGGCCTCGGACCAGATAGTGCCGCGGGCGCTTCGTCGGGGATTAGGCGTTCGAGGTCTCGCTGGACGCCGCGGCGGGAAGGGTCAGGAGGAGATCGCATACGGCAAGCTCGAGATAGGGAACGCCGTGATTCATCTGTTGGACTCCCTGGGGGGCATGGCGAAGCGGGGGGCAGCCCCGCAAGGGCGCCTCGGAACTGGCGCGCAAGCTGCCGGACAAGGCGAAACCCGAGCAGGGCGGCGAAGAGGGCGGCCGCAAGAAGTGAGTTGGGAGACCGGGCTGGCGGCGCGACGAGCTGTGCAGCAGGGGGCGCGCCTTCGCGCCCTCCCCACCCACCTCCTTCCTCCTTCAGACTACCTCTCTCGACATCTTTCTCGGCTTTGCTGGGATGGAGAGGGGGAGGAGACAGGGTTGGGGCAGACTCTTCACCGCGCAGCGCTGTGATTTCAGGGCGGGGGGGGGCCTTGCAGACCCAGCCCGGCACATGCAGTGTCGGAGGCTCGGGCACGAAGGCCCGAGGGGCATCGCCCCCAGCCCAGTGTAGAGGTCGGGTAAAGTGCTCCTTCCTTGGCGAGCGAAGTCTTGCGCGAGGCTGCACGGCGTGTGAAACTCGCCACTTCAAATCCCAGGGATTACGACCGTGCGAGGTTTACTTTGGCCGAGCTACACGAGCTCGGCGATCAGCAGGTCAGACGATGAGACCACACGCAATGCCGAATATTCTTCTTCTTCTTCTTCTTCTTTTCTTCCTCCTCCTCCTCCTCCACCCCCTCCCGCGTCCGCGCTTTTACCCTACGACGTCGCCCCTCGCTCTCCTCCTCGCCCTTCTCCTCCACCGCCTCCTCGTCCCCCTCTTTGCCCCCCTCGCCCCATGACGTCGTCGCAGTAGCCGTCGTCGTTGTCGTCGTCGTCGTCGTCGTCGTCGTCGTCGTCGTCGTCGCCGTCGCCGTCGCCGTCGCCGGCGCGGCCGCCGATAGTCGATCGCTGCCACCGTCGCCGTCGACGCCGCCGCCGCCGTTGCCCCAGTCGCCGTCGCCGCCGCCGCGGCGTCGCCCCTCGCCGCCGCCCGCCGCCCTCGAGCCGCCGCGTCGCTGCTCGCGAGCCGACGCGCGCCGAGGGCCCAGTGGCGGCTTGGTGCTCACCGCCAGCAGCTCCGCCCCGTGCCTGTCCGCCAGCCAGCCGGGCGGGCCGCGCCTCAGCCCGCTGATGCCGGACTGCGGGCGCGCCGTCCCGCCCTCCTGGGGACCCCGCCGCCGCCGCCGCCGCCACCTTCTCCGCCGCTCCGCCGCCGCCTCCTCCTCCTCTCCTCGCCTCCGCCTCCGCCGCCACCGCCTCCTCCGCCGCCTCCCCCTCCTCCGCCTCCCCCTCCTCCTCTGGGCCAGCCCTCCCTGACAGGGCCCAATTCGATCCGATCGATCCGATTCGATAGCCACTTGGCCGGCACGATCCGACTCGATTCCGACTTTCGTTGGATTCGACTCGGTCCGTCGCCTGCATGGCGGGCGCTGTTGTGCGTCCTGGCGCAGCCGATCCGATTTGGTTCTGCCGATGCGGCCCGATCCGTCTTACATTCCGACTCAAGTGGCCTACGCCATTCCGCCGACCCCCCAGAAGGAGCGAGTGTTTGCGACGATTGTGGAAGTTATCTAGCGGGTCAGGAGCTTCTTGGATGCATGAGGGGCTCGTGGGAAGCCTCGCAGGGGCCTCTTCGAGAGCCCTTGGGGGCACGGAGGGGCCTCCTGGGCCTTTTTTGGGGCCTCTGGGGGGCTGCTTGGGGACGCCTCAGAGGCCTCTTGTGACCTCTTGTGGGCGCCTCGGGGGCGTCGGGGGTCTCTTGGGGCCATCTTGGAGAGAGCAGCTCGCAGTTTCTGTTCGTCTTTGAGCTCCTCGTGGGGCTCGCCTGGGCCGTCTGGGGGGCCCCCCGTGGCCGTCTTGGGCCCCCCTTGGGCTGTTTTGTGGCCCTCTGGGAGGCCTCGTGTGCCCTCTTGGATCAAGGGCTCCCCCGAGGGCGCGAAGTTATTCGCGCTTCGCGCTTCGCGGTCCTCGTTTCTCCTCCCCCTCCTCCTCGTCCTCCTTTTGTCCCTTTGGGGGGGCGGCGCGAGAGCGCGAAGTTATTCGCGCTTCGCGCTTCGCGGAGCGCGAAGCGCGAAGTTGGGAGCCCTAGTGGATCGATCTCGGGGCTGCTGGGGCCATTGCCCCCCTCGTCAAACTCGGATGCCGGAGCCCACGGCGTGGGCTGCGGGAGCCATGCTCCCCTGTAGAGGTTGGATGCTGGCAGCCCGCTCCCTTCGACGGCATACTCAGCCGGAACCACTTTCCCTCGTAAAGACTGCGAGCTGGAGCCACTTACCGTTCAGGGTTTTGAAATATAGGTGAGGTGGGAGGGGTGTACGGGCCCAGGAATGAGTGTCTGCGCCTCGCCCTGAAACGGGGGCAGTCCGCGTGCGCGTACGCGCGCGCGTGCGCGCGTGCGTGAGCGTGCGCGTGTGCGCGAGCGTGCGCGTGTGCGCGTTCCTGCGCGTGTGCCCGCTCGTGCACGCGCGCGTGCGGGCGCGCGTGAGCGCGCAAGCGCAAGCGCAGGCGCGAGCCCGAGCAGGAGCGCGAGCGTGACCCCGAGCCCGAGCTTCAGACCGAGCCCGAGCCCCATCCTGAGCGCGTGCGCGCGCGTGCGCGTGCGTGAACATGCGCTTCCGATATGTTGACACGCACCACAACAAATCACCACCAACAATACCCACCTGACTGTAGTGAGGTTCCACGCTCGCTTGCTCAGGCTGCTTTCTAATGTGATCGCGTATATCTTCGTCAGCTTCTCGTCCAACGCGTGGTAGCCCAGCAAGGTGCGTTCTTCACATTCTTCGCCGTAGGCTGGGTCGCCGTTGTAGTGTACAATGCCTCTTTGTCGACGGACAAGGGGCTTTGGCTCTTCTCGGCTTTGGCCTATTGAGAGGGACATATTTCGTACTGCAGTCTCGGCCATACACGTCGCTTCTCCGTGTCGCAGGTGCTGACCTCATTGGTATGTAGTCGAGCAAGCGATGATTGCGAGCACGATGGTGTTGAGCGCCAGCATTTGCTGCACGGCCGCTCTACAATATGTAAGCTCGCAGCTGTGGAGCTCTTCCAGCTCCGTGCTGTCGGTTTAAGCGATACTATTGTCTTTGATGAGGTTGATCTTGTTATTTATCACCAAATCAAGAATACGGGGAAGTGCGTCCACCCTCGCCTCCGCTACTTGAGCAAAGCAGTCACGGAAGCGGTGTCCGTTGTCCGTTGTCCTCGTCGTCGTCGTCGTCGTCGTCGTCGTCGTCGTCTCCCTCGTCCTCGTCCTCGTCCTCGTCCTCGTCCCTGTCGTAGTCGTCGCCTTCCGTCCGTGTCGGCGTCGTCCACCCGCCGTTGCCCGTCGCCCTCCCGCCGCCCGTCGCCGTCGGCCAGCGGCCGCAGGCCCGCGCCCGAGATGTCCGTGCTGAACACGCCGCAGTGGCGCAAACCGCGGGGCCAGTGCGCCATCACGAAGTGCTCCCCCGAGCAGAGTCGCCCCGTCGTCGTCGCCGTCGCCACCGTCGCCGCCGCCGTCATCGTCGTCGTCGTCGTCCATGTCGTCGTCGTTGTGGTCGTCGTCGATCGAGGGCCGAGGATCAATGTTCGAAGGTCGAGGCTTCGGGACGTCTTCAGGCCTCCCGCTGAGGGCTCTCTGTTGCCACCGCTGGGCTCACTGTCGGAATTTCCGGCCAGGGCGTACACCCTGCATGGGGGGCCCGGGGAGGTCGCATTTTGGGAGCAGGGAGGGAGGGAGGAAGAGAAGGAGGAAGGGGGGGTTGGAAGGAGTTGGGGAGGAGGGAGGGAGAGAGCAGAAGGGACCGGACCGATCGCGAAGCGATGAAGACGTCACCCGATCATACAGACCTGAGACTTACCTCGGCTTGGACTGGACTACTACTTGGGCCAAGGGCCCACGTAAAATGGTCTTACTATATTTGTTAGTATTGATCTTCTTAGTAGGTGTAGCAGTAGTCGTATTCGTATTATTATTCGTATTAGTCTCATTATTGTTGTTAGTGCTATGTTTGTTATTATTCGTATTGGTATTAGTATTAGAGTTCGTATTGGTATTAGTGTTGATCTTGGCATTCGTATTCGTATTCTTACTAGTACTAGTTATGACATTAATATTATCATTATAGACCAAGAAGCCTCGCGAGCCACGGGAAGGACGGCGCCAAAAAAGAACACCAGCGTTTCGAGCCGAACCCGACTGCCGCTGAGCAGCCTGTCGCGACTGGGGGCATTCACTTGCGGACTGCGAAGCCGACGATGCACTCGCGAGCGCTCCGCTGCTGCCTAAAGCTGCCCCGTTGACTAGTGGGCCTGTCGGCACAGCGCCCGTCTGCGCTCCACCGCATCGGAAAGGGGTCAGCATCTCGTAGCAGCCGTGCTCGAGTCTCGCTCCTCTCCCAGGGCCCTCGGCCGCCCACTCGGCAGATCCATGAACGTCAGGCGCGAGAATTTTCAGGAAGGGCACCACCACCAGGAAGTTCAGTGCAGACAGGAACAGCAGCACGAGCTCCAGGAGGGCGATCACTATCTCCAGGAAGCTCAGCAGCACGACTGTGTAGACTCCGCAAGGAAGATCCGCATACCCTTCAAGACCAGAAGGCTCCCCAGGATGAACCTCTCCACCTTCACCGCCAGGAAGATCGGCACCTTCACGAACTCCACCAGCCTCCGCCGACTGACGACCAGGCACGGCAGGCGCAGGAGGACGAGGTAGAACTGGAACACCTCTCCACTCCTCCGATGAACGTCCCCAGTACTTCCACGCGGAACGACACCTCTCTCGACACGAACACCGTCGGCACCCGCAGGCTGACGACCAGGACCGCCCAGAGCAGCAGGAACCTCGTCTGCAGCTCCAGCACCAGTAACGCCACGAGGCTCGGCACTACGTCTAAGAGCCGCCACAGCACATCTGCGATGACGGCCATCGCAATCAAGATAACCAGCTCCTCCACGACAATCGACCCTCCCACTACGAGCAGCTCTCGCATCTCCTCGAAGTTCGGCACCCCTACTACTACGACAGGCACTGGAGCCGCACCACGAGCAGGATGGGCAGCAGGCGCCAGCCGACACACGACGTTGAAGGGCGACTCGTCATGCGACTTCTGGTGCCCATGGTCGGTGGCGGTGGTGTTGCCGAGGTCGGAGGTCATGTACTGCAGCAGCGTGATGGCCAGCCCGTCACGGACGCGCCCGCCGATAGAAGGGAAGAGGTACGCACGGACCCCACTTTTGTCCGCGTGGCTGATCACCCTGACCGTCGCACGACGCCCGCTGACAAGCTGGAGGATCACCCACTCAAGCCGTGCGGCAGTGACAATCGGTGAATGCCGAAAACGCCAGCGCGCAAGTGCTTGAGGTAGAGAGAGAGGGAGTGAGAGAGGGATGGCGGACGGAGGAGAAGAGGGGAGAGAAGATGAAGAGGACGAGGATGCGGATAAGGATGATGAGGAGAAGGAGGAGGAGAATGAGGAGGGCGAGGAGGAGGGAGGACTAGGGTGGATGAGGCATGTAAACGACGGGTTGAGGGTGAAATTGAACAATGAGTGACGATCATGATGCTGTTGACGATGCGGTTGTGGTTACGGTGGTGATGATGTTTGCGGGCGTGAGGATGACGATGATGATGAAACGTAGTACATTGTTGGTTGGTGGTTGTGGTGGTGGTGGTGATGCCGAGATGGGGGTGATGATGCTGCTGCTGATGATGATGCAGTTGACGAGGATGCCGAGGCTGCTGATGCTGATGCCGATGCTGATGCAGATGTTGCTGATCATATGCTATTGATGATGCTGATGATGGTGATGGTGATGCTGACGACGACAGCGACGATGGTGGTGATGGTGATGGTGATGTTGCTGACAGTATTTAGCGATGCTGAGGCTGCTGATGATGCTGATGATGATGGTGGTGATAATGATGATGCTGATTCTGATGATGATGCTGGTGGTGATGGTGATGCTGATTTGGATGCTGATGCTGGTACTTGTGCTGCTGATGCTGATACTGGCGACGAGGGAACTTATGAATTTGATTATGTTGATGGTTATGACGAGGCTTACGATGCTTTTGCTGATGCTGATACTGATGACGATGCTGGTGCTTCTGCTGATGATGAGGATGCGGATGCGGATGATGATGTTGATGCTGATGCTGATGCTGATGCTGATACTGATGATGAGGATGGTGCTTATGCTGCTGCTGATGATCAGGATTTTGATCATGCAGATGATAATGACGATGATGCTGATGATGATGACCATGATGATGATAATGATGCCGATGATGCTGATGATGATGATGATGATGGTGGTTATGGCAAAGGTGATGGTGCTGCTGCAGCTGATCGTGATCATCCGGCTTATGCTAATAGCGAGGCTGAGCATGATGACGGAGATGATGGGAGGATTCTGTTAAGGAAGACGATGTTGATTATGATGATGATGCTGATGATGCTGATGATGCTGATGATGATGATGATGATGATGATGACAATGACGTTGCCGATGACGATGATGATAATGATGACGATGATGATGATAATGATGCTGATGATTGTGGTGCTGGCAATTGTGATGGTGCTGCTGCAGCTGATCGTGATGCTAATAGCGAGGATGCGCATGATGACGTAGATGATGGGATGATTATGTTAAGGAAAACGATGCTGATTCTGATGATGATGATGATGACGCTGATAATGTTGATGATAATGCTGACGATGATGATGCTGATGATGATGATGATGATGATGATGATGATGATGCTGATGATGATGATGATGACGTTGACGATGACGATGATGATGATACTGATAATGATGATGCTGATGATGATGATGCTGTGGATTATGATAGTGATGATGATGATGATGATGATGATGATGCTGATGATGATGATCCTGATGATGATGCTGATGATGATGATGATGATGATGATGATGCTGAGGTTGGTGATGTTGATGATGATGATGATGAGGTTGATGATGTTGTTGATGATCATGTCTATGATGATGGTGATGGTGATGAGGGTGAACAGGATTAACCTGATGATGCGACTGCTGGCGATGATGATGCCGCTGCCGTGGTTGACTAAAGACTAATTAATCTTGATCCCCCCTGCTGGTAATTAACCATTGTATCCTTTATCCAAGTGCTCCTCCTGGGGCTCGCACCCAGTTTCTGACGGGAACGCTGGGTGCCACCAAATTGGGTCCCTGGCCAAAAGTTTACAACCACAACGGCTCCCGCCTGATGTTTCCTCACGATTGATTCCCAAATCGCGCTGCTCGGGACTTCCTCACACTTTATATAGGAATCGCGCTCTCGCGTGGGACATCTTCGAAATTTTGTCAGACGCCGCGCCGTCGACACTCAGGAATCACGCTCTCGCTGTGGATGTCCTAATGATTTATTTGGGAACCGCGCTGTCGCTCGAGACTTCCTCGCGATTCATGCAGGACTCATGCTTCAGCGACCCGCCTGCATCTTGTCCAGTCCTTCCATCCGTCCTCCAGGCTGGAATGCTGCGGCGATGCAGGGCATTCCGTAGTCAATTGCGCTGGCGTGTGCCGCGTTCAATTGATCGCGCGCGCAGCTCCCCGAGGCACTCTCGGGAGGAACACGGTTTGAAACTGACTGGTTTCGGAGGAGGAGGAGGAACAAGATGGGGAGGTGGTCGAGGATGGGGAGGAGGAGGAGGAGGAGGAGGAGGAGGAGGAGGAGGAGGAGGAATAAGGGGAAAGAGAGGGAGGACGACGGCGTCGACGGCGTCGACGACGGCGGCGGCGGCGAGGATTGCTCCGAGCCGCCGCGAGGTACGCGGACATTTACGTCAAACAAATGCGTTGCAGCCCTTTCAACCAGTCCCTGGCGGGGCGGTGAGGGGCCAGGCCAGCGGACGCGGTCGAGGTCGACGGCTCTCGAGGGCGACGCCGGCGGCAATGGCGACGATGCCGACGAGGACGACGGCGAGGATGAGGAGGACGACGCCGACCAGGACGACGAGGAGCAGGACGACGAGCAGGGCAGGAAAATGAAGACGAAAACGAGGGCCAGCGAAGATGATACTGCGCATGCGAAGGAGTAGCAGGAGTTGGAACAGAAGTGCTAAGCATGACGCGGGAAAGAAGGCTGAAGGGGGAGCATGAGGGATGTGCTGGTCATGATGAGAAGCTCGATTCCGAGGAAGGATGCAGTAAGAGGAGCAACAGCAGGAATATCTGGACGATGAAGGCGACGATGATGGTGGTGGTGGTAGTGATGATGATGACGATGCCGATGATACTGATGATGCTGATGCTGATGCTGATGCTGATGCCGATGCCGATGCTGATAATGACGATGCTGATGCTGCTGATGATGATGATGATGCTTATGACGATGATGATGGTGCTGATGATGATGGTGATGATGTTGTTGATGGGTGATGATGCTGATGATGATGAGGATGAGGATACTGATCGTGTCGATGATGCTGACGATGATGATGAGGAGGACGAGGGTGATGCTGATGAAGAAAGCGAACATGATGATGCGTATGCGCATGATGATGCTGATGGCGATGATGGGAATGCTGGTGGTGCTGACAATAATTGTGGTGGTGATGATGATTGTGGTGGTGAGGGTGGAAATATTATCATTCTGATGATGCTGCTGATGATGATGATGATGGTGATGGTGTTTGTGATGATGCTGATGATGTTGGTCATGATGACTAAGATGACTATGTTTATGCTGATGATGCTGAGTATCATGATGATGGTGATGATGATGCTGCTGATGCTGATGCTGATGCTGATTATGATGATGATGCTGCTGATGATGATGCTGCTGATGCTGTTGATGATGATGATGGTGATGCTGATGCTGCTGATGACGATGATG